CACCTGCTCCAAAATCGCTGCAGCCAGCACTGCCCGTGTGTGAAAAATGGTCACCCACTGCCACGCATACGTCAAAATGGCAGCCACCAGTACTGCGCATGCCCTAAAATAGACGCTCACTTCTGCTCATGATCCAAAGTGGCCACTGCCAGAGCAATGCATGTAAGTACTGGGACACTGCTTCCACGCATGCGCCAAAATGGCCATGGCCAGCAATGTATGCTCCAAAATGGTCGCCCACAGCTGTGCATGGGCCAAAATGGCCACCACCAGCGCTGCACATGCAAAAAGAGGGACATCAATGCCGCACATGTGCCAAAATGGCAGCCCACTGCCACACATGCGTGAAAATGGCCACTGCCAGCACCAAAAAAGCCTCCTGCTGCTGCACATGTGCCAAAATGGCCACTGCAGCTGCCAAAATGACTGCCACAATGCCGAAAATGTCCCCCATGGCTGTACATGTGCCAAAATAGTCACTTCAGCTGCGAAAATAACCCCTATCTCAGCAATGATTCAAAATGGCAGCCACCGCACATGCACAAAAACGGTCATCAGAGTCCAGCAAATGGCCTCTGGAACACTGAAAATGGCTCCCACTGCCTCCCATGGGCCAAAAGGGTCACTGCAGCTGCCAAAATGGCTGCTAAGCATCCAAAAGAGGCCCCCCTGCCGCACATGTTCCAAAATGGCCATTGCAGCCCTGAAAATGACTATTGTAAGTCCATAAATGAGCCCCAGCGCTACACATGCGCCAAAATGGCCACCAGAGGCACCAAAAGTGTTGCCACAACTCCAAAAATATTCCCCATGGCTATGCCTGTGCCAAAATGGCCATTCCAGCTGCCAAAATGGCTGCTGAAACTCTGAAAATAACTCCCATGTGCCAAAATGGCCTCCACAGCTCCGAAAATGGGCCCGTGGCCACGCATGCACCAAAATGGCCACCAGAACTCTGAAATTGTAACCCACGGCCGTACAATCACAGAAATAGCCAAAGCAGACACACATGCACCAAAATTGCCACTGAAACTGCCAAAATGTCCACTGCAACTCTGAAAATGTACCCCGCACCCACGCATGCATCAAAATGACCACCGCCAACACGCATGCACCAACATGCCCATAGTAGCTTCAAAAATGGCCCCTGATGCCGCACGTGCACAAAAATAGCAGTTGCAGCCCTATAAATTGCCGCTAGAGCAATGAAACAAGCGCCAGCCACCATGTATGCACCTAAATGGGCACCATAGCTCCGAAAATGGCCCCCATCACGGCCCATGAGCCAAAGGGCCACCGAATCTCCAAAAATCACCGCTGCTGCTGTGCATGTACCAAAATGGCTGCCTAAGAAGTGAAAATGGCCACCGCTGCTGCGCATGTGCCAAAATGATCATCACTGCCATGAAAATGGCTGCATCAGCTCCAAAAATGGCTCTGACCACCACGCATGCACAAAAATGGCTGCCCAATGTGTATAAGTCATCGTGGGGCCAAAGTGGGCTCTGTGAATTAGGCTGGTGCTGCTGGGGCCTCCCTGAAGTTTAGCGTTAAGGTTTGGTTGGGATTAGGGTTAGGGTAAAGGTCTGGGTCTGGATCTGGGTCAGGATCAGGAGTTGGGGATGGGGTCAGGGGTAGAGGTAAGGGTATGAGAAGGGTTAGGGTTAGGGTTTATGATTAGAGTAAGGGGTTGGGTTGGGGTTAAGGTTAGGCATTGGGGTTCGGGATAGAAGGGTTGGGGTATGGTTGGGGATGGGGTTGGGGTTGAGCTTGGGGCTCAGAGTTAGGGTTAGGGGTAGACATAGGGTTAGGGTTAGAGTTCAGCTTGAGATAGTGTTTGTGGTCAGTGTTACACTTAAGGTTAGGTTTAAAGCTAGGCTAGGGCTAGGGTTAGGACTTTGGTTAGGATTAGGGGTTAAGGTTAGCAATCTGTTAAGTAATAGGGGTAAAGGTTAGGGTTATGGTTAGTGTTAGGCTTAGGATTATGGCTAGGGCTAAGTAGGGGATTAGTGTTAGCATTAAGAGTGAAGGTTAGTGTTAAGGGTAGGAATAGGTTTACAGTTTAAGTTTAGGGTTAGGATTAGGGTTAGGGTTCAGGTTTTGAGTTAAATTTAGGGTTTGAATTATGGATAGGGATATGGATATGTCTAAACTTAGTGTCAGGTTTAATGGAAAAGTTTGGGTTTGCATTAGATTTAGGGTTAGAGTTATGGTTAGTGTTATGCATAGAGGTAAGTTGTAGGGGTTGAAATTTGGGAACTAACAGGCTTAGGGTTTAGGCATAGGTTTCACATTTAGGGTTCAGATTAGGTGTTTTGGATAGTGTGAACGCTGTGTTTTGGTTAGTTTTAGTGTAGCTTTTAGGTTTAGCATTACAGTTTGTTTTACTGTTACAGTTAGCATTTAGCATTTGGTTTAGGTTTAGGATAAGGTTTAGGGTTAAGTTTAGAGTTAAGGGTTATTGTTAGAGTTAAGGGTTATCTTTAGGCCTATGGTTTGGTGTTAGGTTTAGGGTAAATGTTAGGGTTAAGATTTAGTTTCTGGTTATTGTGAGTGTCTAGCATTAGCTTTAATTGTAGAGTTTATTGTTAGCGTTATGGTTAGGGTTATGGACGGTGTTAGCGTTCAGATTAGCATTAGATTGGGTTATGGTTATGGTTTAGGGTTGGGTTCGGGTTAGCGTCAGGGTCAGGGTCAGGGTTGCATAATGAACTTATTTGTAACGAACTATATGTTTGTTTTGCGAATTTGACTGGAAATTGTAAACACTCCTTAGGTTCTCAGAGATAAGGAAGTTTGTAATCAACACACATTGTCCCTTTCTTGTGTAACTCACTATAAGTATTTACTTTTGGAAGTTACTTATGAAATAACTTATTGTAAGTTATTCCTTTTTTCTAGGAAATTCTACCCACTGTTTCAGTTATTAGAGAAAAGCTACTTTGTTATCTATGCAATTTCACTCCTCTACATGTAGGTCACTGTAAATATTTTCATTTGGTACTTTTTTCTGAAAGTATATACTGTTACTTTTGTGCGATTCACAGGAATCTGGAAAAAATTTGGCTCTCAGCGAAAAGCTAGTGTATATTCAATGTACTTCCAGGATAGTGTTATGGTTAGGTTTAAAGTTTCAGCTTATGTTCAGTGTTATGGATTTGCACCAGGGTTAGGATTAGGGTTAGAGTTTCTGTTTAGGGTTATGGTTAGGATTTCTGACTAGATTTCGGGATAGGATTAGGGTAAGGGTTTGCATGAAGTGTTAGTGTTAGGGTTAGTGCTAAGTCTAGGGCTAGAGTTAAGGTTAGGCTTAGGGTTAGTTTTGGGTTAGGGTTTAGGTTAAGATTTTGTTTAGCAGTAGAGGTATGATTAGGCTTTGGGTTAGGGATAGGGTTAAGGTTAGGGTAAGGGGTATGGGTAGTGTTTGGCGTATGTGTAAGGTATAGCGGTTTGAATAGGGGTATTTGTAGGTGTAGGGTTTAGAGTTAGGGTAGGGTTTAATTCATGCATGTTAGTGGGTGACCATTTTTCGCACATGGGCAGAGCTGGTGGTGACCATTTTGCGCATGTGCAGCAGCAGGCCATTTTCACAGCCGCACTGGCCATTTTGGTGCATGTGCATTGGCAGGAGCCATTTTTGTTGCTGGCGGCAGCCATTTTCGAGCATGCGTGCAGGTGGATGGCAATTTTAGGGCATGCATGGTGCTGGTGTTTGCCATTTCTATGCATGCATGGCAGCAGTGTCCCTTTTTCGCATGTATGGCGCTAGCGGGGGCCATTTTCACCCATGTGCAGCAGTGGACAACAATTTTCGAGCATGGGCAGCACCTATGGCGGCCATTTGGGCGCATGTGGGGCGGTCACGCCCCTTTTGGTGCGTACGCAGTCGTTGGGCTGTTCTTGAGCATGTGTGATGTTAGCACCGCTTCTCCCATATGTGTCGTTAGCATTAAGGATAGAAATTACTGTTCGTTTAAGTTGCGGTTTAGGGTTAAGGTTTTGGTTAGGTTTAAGGTTAAGAGATAACGTCTGGTGTTGGGTTAGTGTTAGGATTAGGGTTAGTGTTCAGTGTTAGGGTTAGTGTTTCGGTTGTGGGTAAGGCAGAGAGGTAGGAATATGGGTTTTTGTAGGTGTAGGGTTTATTGTTAGTTTAAAGTTAGTGTTATGGTTAGGGTTAAGGGTAGGGTTTTCTTTCGGTTTAGTGTTAAGTTTAGGGTTAGGGTTGCATTGTGGCTGTGATTAGGGTTTGGGTTGCTATTGTGGTTGAGATACGAGAGGGTGTTAGGGTTTGGTTTAGATTAGGATAAGGGTTTCTGTAAAGATTAGTGTTAAGAGTTAAGGTTTGGCATCGGGGTTATTGTCAGGATTAGGCATAGTATTTAGTTTTAGCGTTAGTGTCAGGGTCTGGGTCAGGAACATGGTGCGGGTTAGGCTTGCATATGGAACATATGTAGAGAGTACTTTATGTGTGTTTTGTGAATGTTCCTGTAAATTATATACATCGGTTCAGTTTTCACAAATAAGCATATTTTACATCAGCGCACATTTTCACTTCTTTTTGTAAGTCTTCTTGTATTTACTTTTGAAACTTAATTATGAAGTAACTTATTCATGTTTTCTTGGAAATTCTACCCACTGTTTCATTTATCAGAGAAAAACAAGTTTGTTCTCAATGCAAATTCCTGCTTCTTTTTGTTTATCATTGTAAATGTTTGCATTTGGGTTAGGGTTTTGTTTGGAATTAGGGTTTCGGGTTAGGATTAAGTTTAGGGTTTTGTCCTAGGGTTAGTGTTAGGGTTTGGTTTGCATATTGAACTTCTTTAGACAGTACTTTATGTGTGTTGTGAGTATTTTACTGGAAACTACAAACACTGCTTTAGAACTCATATAAAACAAGGTTATAATCAATGCACCTTGTCCCTTCCTTGTGTAAGTAACCACAAATATTTTTCTTTGGAATATGATTAAACAACTTATGGTATCTCATGCGTGTTCTCTAGGTAACTCTACATACTGCTGCAGTTCTCAGAGAAAACTTATTCTGTAATCAAGGCACTTTCTTGCTTCTTTGGGTAAGTAACCTATATATTTACCTTAAGAAGTATTTTATGAAATAACTTTATATTTTATGTTTATTTTCTTGAAAACCCTACACACAACTTAGTTGCCAGAGTAAAGCAAGTTTGTTATAAATGCAGTTTCTCACTTCTTTGTTTATGTTACCCTAATGTTTGCATTTATAACATCTGTGAAAGTATATATTGTTACTTAAGTGTGATTCACAGGAAACTAGAAACACTGTTTCACTTTCAAAGAAAAGCAAACGTATACTCAATGTACTTCTAGGATAGTGTTAGGGTTACAGGTTGTTAGGTTTCCTCTTACAGCTAGATTCAGGATTTCACGCTAGGGTTAGGGTTTTCTGGTAAGGATTAGGGTTAGTGTTAGAATTTCTGGCTGCGGTTAGGGTTTTGAGATAGGATTACTATTAGGGTTAGGGTTGCATATGGAACTTCTTTAGAAAGAACTTTATGTTTGTTCTGCCTATCAGATTGTAAACTATAAACACTGTTTCCTTGCTCAGAGATAAGCAAGTTTGTAATAAATTCCCACTGTGTCGTATTCATCTAAGTCATTGTAAATATTTACATTTGTAGGTTATTGATTAAATAAATCCTTCGACATTATTCACGTTTTCTAGGAAATTCAACCGACTGCTTCATTTCTCAGAATAAAGCAACTCTGTTATCAATGCAATTTCTCACTTCTTTTGTAAGTCACCCTAAATATTTGCTTTTGTATCTTCTTTATGAAAGTATATACTGTTACTTATATGCGATTCACTTTCAGAAAAAATCAAGCATAGATTCAGTGTACTTCTAGGCTAGTGTTAGGGTTATAGTTAGGGTTTCAGCTTAGGGTTGGGGTTAGGTATTCTGTAAGTGTATATATAAGAAAAGGAAGTGTGTAATTAGAGCACTTTGTAACTTCTTTGTGTTAGTCACTGTAATTATTTACCTATGGAATTTTTTTTATATAATAACTTATTATACCTGATGCGGGTTTTCTATGAAACTGTACACACTCCTTCATTTCTCAGAGAAAGGCAACTGTGTTATCAATGTAATTTCTCACATCTTTGTGTATTTCACTGTAAATGTTGCATTTCGGTCTTCTTATGAAAGTATTTACTGTTACTTATGTGTGATTCACAGTAAACTAAAGAGACTGTTTAACTTTCAGAGATCAGCAAGCATATATTCAATGCTCTGTTATGATACAGTTAGCATTAGAGTTTCGGCTTTAGGTTAGGGTTAGCGTTTTGGGCTATGGTTAAGGTTAGAATTTCGTGTTAGGGTTAGAGTTAGGGTTAATGTTTCGGGCTAGTGATACGATTAGTGGTTTGCTTTAGGACAGGGCTAAGATTAGCTTTAAGGTTTTTGAGCTAGGGTTCGGGATCGGGTTAGTGTTAGTTAGGGTTGCTTATGGGACTTCTTTAGAAAATACATTAGTTTTGTTGTACGAATGTCACATGAAACCATGAACTGTTGCTCCATTGTCAGGGATAAGCTAGTTTTTATTCAATGCACATTGTCACTTATTTTATAACTAATTCTATATAAGTATTTTTGGAATAGCTTCATGATCAAACTCTTTGTAACTCTGGCTTCTCTTTTAGGAAATTCTACACACTTCTTACGCTCTAAGAAAAAAGGAAGTGTGTCATTAACGCACATTCTAACTTCTTCATGTCAGTCATCTTTGAAGTTAATGTAATAACTTAATGTACGTTATGCTGATTTTCTATGAAACTGTACACATTGCCTCATTTCTCAGAGAAAAGCAACTGTGTTATCAACGCAATTTCTCACTCTTTGGGTAAGTCACTCTAAATGTTTGCTTTTGGAAATTCCTTTGCAGGTATACGCTGTTACTTCTGTGTGATTCACAGGAAGCTAGAAACACTGTTTTAGTTTCAGAGAAAAGGAAGCATATATTCCATGCACTTGACACCAGGTGAGTGTCGGCGCTAGGTTTTCATCTTGTTAGGGTTAGGGTTATGGTTAGTGTTAGGGGTTAGGGTTAGAGTTAGGGTTAGTGTTAGGGTTAGGGGTTAGGGTTCGGGTAAGGATTAGCGTTAGGGTTCGGGTTCTGGTTAGGGCTCGGGTTAGGGTTCGGGTTAGGGATATGGTTAGGGTTAGGGTTAAGGGTTAGGGTTAGGGTTAAGGGTTAGGGTTAGGGTTAAGGGTTAGGGTTAAGGTTAGGGTTTGGGTCAGGGTTAGGGTAATGGTTAGGGTTAGGGTCAGGGTCAGGGTCAGTCTCAGGGTCAGGGTCTTGATCTGGGTCAGGGTCAAGGTTAGGGTCAGAGTCAGGGTCATGTTCAGGTTCCGGGTCAGCATTTCAGTCAAGGTCAGGGTCAAGGTCAGGGTTAGGGTAGGGTCAGGGTCAGGGTTAGGGTCAGGGCGATTGCTATGTATTATTTTCCTTTTATAGTCAGTTCTCTTGGGTGAGTTCTTAGGACACTAATCAACAAGCTTCATTCTTGTAACATACCCAGAACATCCCGCTCATGGGATGGGCACAAGACACAGGCTGAGACTCTCTTACTATCTAGTCCCTCTGGACCCAGTTATTGGTCCAGACTGAGCGTGAGCCCTGAGTGGGGGCAGTCAGAGTCTTTCCCCAGGATTCCTTTAACTGCAATCAGCAGGGTAAGGGGATTTTTTCATCTCATTGGTTTTGAGCTGTGAGAACATGATAACAGAATTTCTGGCATCTGTTTTCCCCCCCTGTATGGTGCAAAATCCTGTTTTCTATTGGAGAGTTTGAAGCCATGCAGAGATTAGTGAAAATGAGAGATAGGTTGAGAAAGAGAGAGAGAGACAGAGAGCAAGAGAAGAAGAGAAGAGACTACAAGAGAGGCAAGGAGAGGGGAAGAGAGAAGAGTGTAGAGTAGAGGAGTACTTGGTGGCATCCAGATTCTGGTTTCAATATCCAAGATCCTGGAAACTGCATGAGTTATTATAGCTCCTTCATTCTGTGACAAAGCCAAATATCCTTCCTGTAAAATCTTTTTTTTAATGCTTAATTTAGTGTAAGCTTTTATTGCTTAGTTTAGTATAAGTTTTTATGCTTAATTTAGTATAAGTATAATCTAGCACTTGTGACCAAAGTGTTCTAATATACTCCCTCTTTTTCTTTGCTCTGGATCTGTGTAATATTATAAACATTCAATGTTTTCATTAATATCAAGAATCCCTGGTGTTTTTTTTTTTTACATTACCATGCTTTAACAAGTATAATTAATTTTTTTCTTTATGTATGCATTGGAAATACCCAGGAAAAAAGAGTAAATCTCCAAGAGGTGGCTTTGAGTTCAGGTTTACATATTATCTTCACATGCAACAAAGAAAGAATGGGTGCTGTGGGGGGGTCAGTAGTGGGGAGAGAACCAGGAAAAGCAAGGTGAGCGAGGGTAACATTTGTTGTCCAGACTTAAGTGGTGCCTTGTCCATTGATAAGAATCTCTCATGATTTAGTCATCCTTCTCTTCCTGGTACGAGAGCGCGACACCTTTACAAATGGAGGTAGGTTTCCTTTATAGACGTAAATTTCCCTTACAAAAAGGTAACTTCGATCCTGTTTTGAGAGCTTCTCCTGTGTCTGTAGTTTCTTAAAATAATCAGCTCAAAATAATCGTTATGCTGGGTTGGGCATGGTGGCTCATGCTTGAAATCTCAACACTTTGGGAGGCCCAGACATTAGGCTCCCTTGAGGCCAGGAGTTCAAGACTAGCCTGGGCAATATAGCAAGAACCTGCCCGTACAATAAAAAAAATTATTTGGGCGTGGTGGTGCATGCCTGTAGTCCCAGCTACTTGGGAGGCTGAGGATCACTCCAGCCTGGGAGCTCAAGGTGGCAGTGAGTTGTGATCATGACAATGTACTCAGCCTGGGTGACTGTACAAGACCCTGTCTCAAAAAAGAGAGGTATATTTTGGGGTGGTCTATTGTGGTCTTCTACAGTCATATTTCGGGGTGGCATAGTCTGGTCTCCTACGTTGTCTTTGAAAGGGACTGTATCATTATGCACTCTACCAGCAACGGGTGAGAGCTCCTGTGTTTGCCTCCAGCAATGGCTTGTGATGTTTGTAGAGTTTAGCAGTTTTAAAAGGTGTGCCATGCTCATTGTTTTTGCAATGTGCTGTTCCCTAATGACATTTGAAGTTGGAAGTCCTTTTGCATGACCCTTGGCCATCTGTGTGTCTTCGTTGAGGTGTCTGTGCAGATCTGTACTGTTTTTTAATTGGTTTCTTTGTCTTCTTTTTGGCTTTTAAATGTTCTTAGTATATTTTTAATATAAATTCTTCTGTAGATATGTATTTTCCAAATATTTCCTACAAGCCTGATGCTCGTGCTTATACTTTCTGAACTTGGTCTTTCACAGAGTATACAGTTTTAATGCTATAACATCCATGAAATTATTTTTTTTACTGTGGATCAGCTTTTGGTGTGTTAAAAGTCATCACCAATTCCAAGGTCATCTTGGATTTTCTCTAGAATCTTTATAGTTTTGCATTTTAAGTCTGAGGACTATTTGGAGTGAATTTTTTGTGGAAGCTGTAAACTTAATGTCTACACTTATTTCATCACATAGATTCCATTTAATTATTCCGTGCCTCCCCACATTTCTAAAAGACACAGGGTGACTAGCACCACCCACTTTGCAATTCCAGACACTGGTACTTCACCATCACCTGGGATGGGACTGGTTCCACAGCGTGGCCAGGAGGGGGCGCTCGAAGCCTGTGAGCGGAGGGCTGCCTCGAGGTGTAGAACTGGCTGTGTCCACACACCCACGGGAGACGCACAGGCAGGGCGCTGTGTGGAACTGGCTGTGTCCACACAGCCACGGCAGACAGGCAGGCAGGGCGCTGCGTGGAACTGGCTGTGTCCATGCACCCAGGGGAGAAGGGCAGGCAGGGAGGGGTGTGGAACTGGCTGTGTCCACGCACCCACGGTAGATGGGCAGGCAGGGAGCTGTGTGGAAATGGCTGTGTCCACAAACCCGCGGGAGACGGGCAGCCAGTTCCACACAGAGCCCTGCCTGCCCGTTTCCCGTGGGTGTGTGAACAGAGCCACATCCACGCAGCACCCTGCCTGCCCCTCTCCCTTGGGTGTGTGGACACAGCATGTTCCACACATCACCCTGTCTGTTCGTTTCCCGTTGGTGTGTGGACACAGCCAGTTCCTCACAGCACCGTGCCTGCCCATCTCCTGTGGTTGTGTGGACACAGCCAGTTCCACACAGTGCCCTGCCCATCTCCTGTGCGTTCGTGGACACAGCCAGTTCCACACAGCACCCATCCCATCGCCCGTGAGTGTGTGGACAGAGCCAGTTCCACACAGTGCCCTGCCTGGCCATCTCCTGTGTGTGCTTGGACACAGCCAGTTCCACATAGCACCCTGCCTGCCCATCTCCCGTGGTTGTGTGGACACAGCCACTTCCAAACAGTGCCCAGCCTGTCTCCTGTGGGTGTGTGGACACAGCCTTTTCCACACAGCGACATGCCTGCCTGTCTCCCGTGGGTGTGTGGACACAGCCAGTTCCACACAGCGCCCTGCCTGCTCCTCTCCCGTGGGTGTGGACACAGCCAGTTCTACACAATGTCCAGCTGGAGCATCTCCTGTAGGTGTGTGGACAGAGCCAGTTCCACACAGCGCCCTGCCTGCCTGTCTCCCGTGGGTTGTGGACACAGCCAGTTCCACACAGCGCCCTTCCTTGCCCGTCTTCCATGGGTGTGTGGACGCAGCCAGTCCCACACAGCGGCCTGGCCAGTTCCTGTGGTGTGTGGACACAGCCAGTTCCACACAGCGCCCTCCCTGCCGGTCTCCCATGGGACTTGGACAGAGCCAGTTCAACACAGCGCCCCACCAGCCCGTCTCCCGTGGGTGTGTGGACACAGCCAGTTCAACACAGCGCCCTGCCTGCCTGTCTCCCATGGAACTCGCTGTGTACACCCACCTACGGTATACCAGCAGACAGGACGCTATGTGGAACTGGCTGGGTCCACGCACCGACGGGAGACAGACAGGCAAGGCGCTGTGTGGAATTGGCTGTGTCCACTCACCCACGGGAGACAGGCAGCTTGCTGTGTGGAACTGGCTCTGTACACACACCGATGGAAGACGCCAGGGCGCTGTGTGGAATTGGCTGTGTCCACAAACCCACGGGAGATGGGCAGGCAGGATGCTGTGTGGAATTGGCTGTGTCCACACACCCACGGGAGATAGGCGTGGACAAGGTAGTCTGTGGACAAGCCAGTTCCACAAAGCACCCTGCCTGCCAGTCTCCCGTGGGTGCGTGGACACAACCAGTTCCACACAGCGCCCTGCCCATCTCCCTTGAGTGTGTGGACACAGCCAGTTCCACACAGCATCTTGCCTGCTCATCTCCCGTGGGTGTGTGGACACAGCCAGTTCCACACTGCGCCTTGCCTTCCTGTCTCCCGTAGTTGTGTGGTAACAGCCAGTTCCACACAGCGCCCTGCCTGCCCGTCTCCTGAGGGTGTGAGGACACGGCCAGTTCTGCACAGCGCCCTGCCTACCCGTCTCCAGTGGGCGTGTGGACACAGCCAGTGCCACACAGCACCCTGCGTGCCTGTATCAGGTGGGTGTGTGGACACAGCCAGTGCCACACAGCGTCCTGCCTGCCCAAAACTTGTGGGTGTGTGGAGTCAGCCAGTTCCACACAGCGCCCTGCCTGCCCATCTCCCTTGGGAGTGTGGACACAGGCATTATCATACAGTGCCGTGCCTATCTCCCGTGGTGTGTGGACACAGCCAGTTCCACAGAGCGCCCTGCCTGACCCTCTCCCGTGGGTGCGTGGATACAGCCAGTTCCACACAACGTCCTGCGCGTGTCCCGTGTGTGCATGGAAACAGCCAGTTCCACACAGCGCCCATAATTCCCTTCTCCCATGGAAACAGCCAGTTCCACACAGCGCCCATAATTCCCTTCTCCCGTGGGTGCGTGGACACAGCCAGTTCCACCTAGCGCACTGCCTGCCCGTATTCCGTGGGTGTGTG